TATATACATATTTAGGTACATGTTGTTACCAAAAATTCCTAATACTAGTCGTCGCCATCTTCAGGGGGGAGGAGGGGGGAGAGGCTGAAACCCTATGACTTCCCCTTTTAGTGTGTCACGGCTCACCCTTACTACAACACAGGAGTTTAATAGGCGTTTGACTAAAAACAAAAAATCCGAAGACTTGTTATTAGCCCTCGTTAGTCCGAGGCCACGCCCCCTCCGAGAGACAGTTCTCAAGTCACGCGATGTCACTCGCCCCCCCCCTCCTCCTCCCAACAACAGCCTGCATCATGCAGCGCGCCTCAATAATGCACGCCCCCCCTCACCCACGCGCCTCCTCCTCTTCGCTTCGCCACGCCCACGCGCGGAGCGCTGGCAACGATTTTTCCCGACGACGGCACCGGCCCTGGGCTGCGTCAACCGGCTGACGCAGTGATCGCCAAATCGTCGATCTCCAGCCACCGGTACAGCTGGATTTTTTTATTTGAGCAGAGTTCTTAAAACGTCAAATTTGAGAAGAATTTATTTAAAGATTTTTTTCCAGCCCCCAGAACCAAAAGCTTTCTTTAAGATACACTGTTGCTTTGTAAAACCCAAAAATATGTTTTGGGAAGAACTTCCTATTATATACGTATTTCTACGCACAGCTCTCGGTCTGCAAAGTAATTATCTAGGTATTTCTGTTTTTGCCTTTCATCTTTGCATAGCAATGATTACGTAGAAATTTCTAGTGCGGTTACGAAGACGCATTTTTTCAGGGTGGCCGCCAGGGTTAGCGAGTAGAGGGAGATGTTGGCAGGGAGCCAAGAGGCGGGGCTCGCTCGCGTCTGCCCATACTAAAAATATTAGCGTACCGTACATGCTAGCGGACTGTGTTCTTGGAAATTATTATTATTATTATTATTATTATTATTATTATTATTATTATTATTATTATTATTATTGCTCGCGAATCGTCCGACTAGGAGCACGCATGCATACATCCTGTATTTATCATAGCTCAGTATCATTATCGCAGTGTCAGGTGCATGTAACTTTTAATTGCGGACCAGCATTTAGCAGAGTCCGATTTTTATTCCCCAGCCCTGGGGATATGGAAGATGAAATGATGATAATGAGGGGTGAAAGGCTGATACACTCATACAGACATACACAAATACACCCATGCTCGAGGCGGGACTCGAACCCGCGATCTTCAGGTCCGAAACTACTACGGCACTACTGCCTTAGTAATCTCGGCCATCTGATCGGCATTATTATTATTATTATTATTATTATTATTATTATTATTATTATTATTTGTTATTTAAGGTCGCATCAACATCTACGTCATTAAATGTTATGGTAACAATGAAGGTAACAATATATGGTGTTGATGGAGGTGAAACAAAGAACACATATGCAACCATGTCCGAAGTGGGACTCGAACCCGCGATCCTCGAGTTTGAGATCGCTACGACATTATGCTACGACTGGCTTAATGATCTATGGACGACTGCAATTAATTTGATTTAGTGTCCTCATTCTGTTGCGGAAAACCCCAAATTCACCTGATGGCCCGACTCTGCACTCGTCAACATCTTTTCCGCTGACACTGATACCCATTCCCTGTCTATCATAACTTGCATCACTGTCTCTGTAATTTCTATCGTTTATGCCATTTACGGTAAAAATATCCATTTTGTGATTTGGTGCATTATGTAATTGTGCGTTGAACCACTCTCATTGAAACCGTCCAGAGCAGATACCATGTTCTTCTCTCTCTCTCTCTTTTTTTGGAGTTGAAAATGAACACGACTATAACAATTCAATAGAATTCATTTCCTTATTAATTCTGCAAATAGACTCTTCGAAACACTTGTAGCAGCAACCAAGAACTGCTTTGACATTTTTAACACTTGCTTTTGCGTATCTCTTCCATAAAATGATATACTTTTGCCACGACTTTACGCGTCTGACTGCGACAGACTCCCTTATGCAACTTCCTCTGATCCGGATGCATTGCAATAATCACAAACAGAACAAAAATAGTTATTTACGATATTAGTGTCGTAATACATCTGATTACAATACGAGATTGTAAAATTGCCAAACGAGTCCGTTTGGTCGAGTTTGCTAACAAATTGAGTATTGTAATCGATGTTATGGCACGAATATCGTACAACGTTTTATCCACTTTGTAAAAATTTGTTAGATTTAAGATTAAAATTTTCATTTAGTATTCACATTTTTCCCCTTTAAGTGGCGACACTGTTCTTAACAAGGAGAACAATTGAAACGCGCATGGTGTACACATTTCGACAACATGAGCGAATGCAGTTCAGACTCAGAAACAAAAGTTGCAGAACGGTATGAGGAATCGTCAGTAGAAAACAAGAAACAAATAGCTATGAAAATTGTGGGGGAAAATAGTATTTCAAATACTAATATGAATTGTCAGACTTCAACATCATCAGGAATTACAATTTCGACTTGCAAGAAATTTGTTGTTAATGTATATAATAAGTAATTAAATATTATTCTTGTTATTATTTGAAAAATTGTTAACAAAGTTATTTTCATAATAAATTATTTGAATAATTATTATTATTCTCAATAATAGACCATGGAATAGTTCTCGTCGCAGAATAACCCTATTCGCATGCCATTACCGCACCATGTAACTGTTTCTGTACTATTAGAGACTATACTAAACATCAAAAATAAATAATATTAACTTTAACAACTTTGATATATTGATTACCATATGTGTTGTATAATTCTAAAAGAACAAATGAAGACTTGAAATAGAGGATGGAAATGTTATTTTCATACTTTCGAGGCAAATTAGTTCATTTATACGTTAAACCTATTGGCACATTCAACTTCTGCCATTGTATACAACTAATGTAGAAATTCTGCACATCGAATCTTTATGTAAAATACTGAACAGTCGTTAAGAACGTAGGGTTGATGCGACTATAGGAAATCGAAACTCTCCTGCCATTTATAAACACCCCGTAACACTATCAAAAATGTGTCTGGACTTTGGTTCTTATTTCTGTAAAAGAGCTTTATTGATTCATCTTTTTTTTTAATTTAAGGTAGCATCAACTAGTAGGCCATTAGCGACCACTATGACATGTAACGGTATGGTAACTATGAGTCTGACAAGATACAATGATAGGGATGGGAAAGGACGAACACAATACAACTATGCGCGAGACGGGACTCGAACCCGCGATCCTTCGGTTCGAGAGCGCTACGGAACTACTGCCTTAGCGATCAGGGCCATCCGGACCGGCATTCACCATTATTGTGTTAAAAACGTAAATTTAACAGAAATGGCACTTGCATCCATTCATACTTTCAGTCTTCAATTATGCCTGAAAAAGGTGTTTTACCTGAGTTTGTGGGTATATGACCTCATCTCGATTAGGATTTCCATGCAGTTGAATTGAATTGAATTGAATTGAAT